TGTATAGAATGACCACTCTGGGTAGTGTATAGAATACAGGAGCACTCTGGGTAGTGTATAAAATGACCACTCTGGGTAGTGTATAAAATGACCACTCTGGGTAGTGTATAGAATGACAACTCTGGGTAGTGTATAGAATGCTACAACACATTGAGAAATCGGAGGTATCGCAGAGCTTGTCAAAGACCGTCACACATTGCCGAGGAGTTGCTGTTGTCGTTTTTGTTGTTGTCGTTGTTGTTGTTGTTGTTGTTGTTGTTGTTGTTGTTGTTGTTGTTGTTGTTGTTGTTGTTGTTGTTGCTATCCATTCAGCAACAGCTTGGTCCTCGCCCTCCCGCCCAATGCCATACGAAGAGCACAGGGAAGAAAAGTGGCAGAGTGCACACTGGAAAGTGTGAGGATATCAATTCTTCAAGCTGGTAGCCTTAAAACTTCATTTCTATTTTATCTATAATGTCATGTGATGTATTGTTACTGATCGACAACTTGGAGGTAAAACAAAAATGATCAACTAAGAGTTGAACTGAAACAAACTTGTTCGTCTACAAGCTGGTAAAATTAATCCCCTCGCCTCTTCCAGCTTGTCACTCTGTACTATTTTCCCCTGTTCCCCTCGTTTAGTGAATGAAAAGTACAGGTTTCCTGCAGCTGCTGTAATGTTCCGTAGAGTGTCTATCCCTATCAGTAACAATGCATCACATGACAAAATAAAAATGAAGTTTTGATGCTACCAGGTGAAAAATTGATACCCTCACACTTTCCAGTGTGTCACTCTGCCACCTTCCTGCCCTGTGCTCTTCGTCTGGCATTGGTCAGAAGGGCAACGACCGAGCAGTTGCTGGATTGATAGCAACAGCAACAACAACAACAACAACAACAACAACAATTACAACGTCGACAACAAGGTCAAGGAGAGAAAAACGTGGTTATTTCACACATAAAAATGTCCGTCTTGGACAATGTTGCTTTGGTAGTTGATAAAAAAATCACAAAATGGAATTACGGGGAAGCGGTTGTTTGTACAGATGTTTGTATAGATGTTTGTATAGATGTTTGTACAGATGTTTGTACAGATGTTTGTACAGATGTCTGTATAGGTGTTTGTATAGTTGTACAGGTGTTTATATAGGTGTTTGTATATGTACAGGTGTTTATATAGGTGTTTGTATATGTATAGGTGTTTGTATAGGTGTTTGTATAGGTGATTGTATAGATGTTTGTATAGGTGTTTGTATAGATGTTTGTATAGATGTTTGTATAGGTGTTTGTATAGATGTTTGTATAGGTGTTTGTATAGGTGTTTGTATAGGTGTTTCTATAGATGTTTGTATAGATGTCTGTATAGATGTTTGTATAGATGTTTGTATAGATGTTTGTATAGATGTTTGTATAGATGTTTGTATAGATTTTTGTATAGATGTTTGTATAGATGTTTGTATAGATGTTTGTATAGTTGTATAGATGTTTGTATAGATGTTTCTATAGATGTTTGTATTGGTGTTTCTATAGATGTTTCTATAGATGTTTGTATAGTTGTATAGATGTTTCTATAGATGTTTGTATTGGTGTTTCTATAGATGTTTCTATAGATGTTTGTATAGTTGTATAGATGTTTCTATAGATGTTTGTATTGGTGTTTCTATAGATG